CAGAGCAGAGGTTTTGGCTCAACAAAGGTTTCATTTCACTCTGGTAGGCAATTATTTTGGAATAATAAAACAACAACAACAAACTAAACAGAAATGGATATAAATAAAGTACAGAACTTGGAACAGGTGAAAAATGTGAGATTGAACATTACTGTAGTCTTTGTATAGTTTCAAAGACACAGTTAGAACTTGAGTAAAAGTTGTATTCCAATCAGCATAACATCAGGTGTGTGAGTTGAAAACGAGGAGCAATTCAGATCCTAGTATATACAAGTGTAAACTTAAGTGACTATGTTGTAACATGCACAGGTATGTCCATAGAAGTAATTTGGATTCAGTTGCATGAAAGCTTCAAGCAAACCCAAAATTTTAAGGCAACTGATACGAATTGAAAGCAAGCATCAAAATCTGTTGAACCGAGAACTGTTTGTTGCCATTCATCAGGTTACTTCAAGCTGATTAGTGTTTATAGCCATTCATCTGGCTCAGACCTACGTACCAGCATTTGACTTAAATATGTGCAGCCTGTCATTGCAAAAAAATCTTGAAAAGCACTTTGGAGTTTGTGCTTTGGGGGTCATATTTTTATTACCTCGTTACATTCTTGCATTGAAGCAACCCTCAGGAGTTTCTGTTAATTGGTTTTCAAATATGGTCCTTTAATTGTTCAAACATTGAACTTAGATTTGACTACACTGGCTAATTTTTAATTAAAGTAAGTTTACTAAAATAACTTTGAGGAATTAAAATAGTTAGGCAGAATCATATATCACTTAATCCTACTCTGTAGTGCTCTGTTTGCAGGTGAAACCTGGGATCCCCAGAGAACCTCACTGGTTCCAAGGGACTGCCTGCCTGGAAATCATTACAAAAATGAGGCCTCAAAGAATAGGATATGATTTTACTTCAACCTGTTATAGTTTAAAATTCAGCATCTCTTTGAACTGATACTTTTCTTGTGCAAGTGAAGTAATTTTGATGAGGAAGAAGAATGTTTACTATTTCCTAGTCATTCATTAGGGACACTGCTCTCATTTCAAACATCCCCATTCTTTTCTCTTTGTTATTCTAGCTCTCATCTTGCCACCTGTAATTTTTGAGCCAGTGGAAGAATTTCCAGTGCCACTCTAATGCTTTGTATTTGTTCCTGCTGTCTTTGCTTTATTGGGTCTTTCTCTGTTGCTTCTGTTTTGTGAAAGTAGTATGACAGTATTTCTTTTAATGACATTTTTGTTAGGATATTAGTTCTGCAATAAACATAGCATCTAGTTTGTGGATGAATTTCTTTGCTACTGACCATCAGCATTGAATGCTCACTGTAATGACAGCATAGCAAGTAGATGTAGCACATGTACTTCAGGACGGCATCTGCACATGACTTTAGCATTTCAGCTACTTCTCATAAAAACTATAAGAAACATAGAATTCTTTGTGTTTCCACCACTTTTTTTCCTATGGTCAAAAGCAATTGTCAAAAAGTGGTTTTGTAGTATTTTAGGATTTTTGTGTGAAAAAATGGAACATGGTGTTGTTACAAAGCAATTGCACTTAGAGAACTTAAAAGTTGCACAGAAAAGCAGTCATATGAGGGAACGTTTAATATTATGTCTTACAGTTTATTCTGTAAGAAAAAGTCATTGTATAAATACTCTATCTTAAGTGAAATTTTCTTTTCTAGTTATTGTATTGTAGTAACATAGCACCAGGAGGAACAGTACTTGGGCAGGAAGGTATTGGTCTTGTTCTTTAGAGGCATTGCCTTCCAGGAATATTGCACAGTTGATCTGCTCTTGCTTTTATATGAGTTGTCTGGTACTACATCTTAGTTTGCAGGGAAATAATTGAGGGTTAATCATGCAAACCCATTTGAAGTAGAAAAGAATGTTGTATTCACAGTGCCTATTGCAATAACAATGAAGACGGAGATACAAGTTTAAGTCCTTGGTTTGAATGCTTAATTACTGATTTTGATCTTTTGAAAATTGTAGATTTTTCCTGTACTGAAATTTGACTACGAAGCTGGAGGTAGCCTATGAAAGAGGCAGAAGTAGGGAGTGATGAAAAAATGAAGTGGAGGTGTACAGCTTCACAAGACATCAATTGAAATCTCATAAGATTTCACAGAAGCTGCATGATTTGATGAATCACGTTGGAAAGATGAGTCATCTGAAGAAACAGTAAAGTTCTGTGACTTAATGATGTGGTGTAGAAATAACAAGGAGATATCAGATGACAAGGAAATTGTATAACACTTAAAAAAATACTTGAGAAGTTTTTAGTATATATGCATCTTATGATAAGCAACTAGTATCTTAATGAGATGGAATATTTTAGCTGAAAGCCAAGTAATAGGTGCTCCTTAGCAGAGGTGAAATCAGGAGATTCAGAGACCTCCTTGCTCAAATACTTATATTTGTCAATCCAATAGAACTGCATGCAAGTGAAATAAAATTAAGAACAATTTAGTTACTGGTTTTCAGCTAGTAAATTCATAAATTTTACACAGTATCTTAAGTTTAGTAGAATATTTCTACTTAGGACTCTGAACTTTGAACAAGGAGGCATTTTTAAAATCATAAACATGGATTATATTGCTGCTGTTGATACAGGGAAACCATAGATGTTGCTGTACTTGGAGTATCCTTTGTCTTGAATGGCATCTGCATTTTTTTCAGCGGATGGAAGCCTGTAGATATTCCAGTTAGGATTAGCCTGAGTACAGGGTTAAACTAGTGGATAAATGATGCGTTTAAATGTGAGTGTAGATCTTTAAATTCAGCATTTCAGTTACTGTTTAGTGATTAAGTTTGACTGCACTTTAAGTAATTTATAGTGTGAGAACCATGTTTTACTAGTGGAAGTGTTTCCTTCTAAAGTGCATTGAGCTGCACATTTTAAAAAGTTACTTGTTGTTTATGGCTCCTGCTTAGAGACATTCAGATTCTGATTATTCATTGATGCTTTCTGTACCAGTGCTTCTATTTTTTTCTTTCCATTATAATTCCTGTTTGTAATTTTGCTTTCTTTCATATAAGAGCATGTTATAGCTTAAGTCTATTTAAAAGTTCCAAAGTAATCTTTTTACTTCTTTCAAAAGTATTTGAAGATCTAATGCTTACTGCTTTTTTTTTTTTTTTTTTTTACAATAATGGCTTCTCCAGTTTAGATATGTTTGTCCTTCCTCAAGCGTAAATCCAGCCTTATACAAACTTTCTGCTCAGGTAAAATCTTCATTTTCTGTTTGTGAAACACTGTTTTTCACGGATTCTGCTGTAGATGTTACGTTCATAAACTCTCTATCCTTAAGATGCTGTTAATAATGAGCTGTTTATCAACCTCATTATAATATATAACACCAACACTGATGACTGTGCATCTGCTAGCTTCAAGTTGGCTGTTGTTTTTATACCATAGAATCACATGAATAAATGTAAAGGAGACAATCCAGAGGGACAGTAGCTTGCAGAACTGCTTCCTGTTTTGAGAATGATACAGTGTTTTAGGAAGGAGATTTTATTAGCTGACTCCCTTTTTCATTTGTAGTTTTAAACTGTAAATAAAATATGTAATCACATTTTCTTTTCCAAAGTTTTTTGTTGTGTATCTGGTAACATGGAGCATGCAGTTGATTTGCTAGCTAGAGAGTTAGTTAAAACGTCATGACTGAAGACCTGAAACAATAAGTATGTTGAGTACTGTGCAGTTCTTCATTTTCCACATCCTGTACAGTCTTAAAGCTTGTATGTAGTCTTAAAACGTGGATCAAGCTCCTCGAACTGTACAACCTGAAAATGGAAAAGTAAATACTGTGAAACTCCTTGTTAATCTATGAGATACCAACAGGACCATACAAAATTTCTCATGCCTCTATGTATGTGTTGTGGTGGGGAGTTAGATTTGATTTTCTTTGTAAGTGAAGTTAGTTCAGCAATGACTAATGAAGCTCATGTAGTAAGTTACTTGGCAATGTGGCAAGCAGGATTTCAGCGCAGGAAAAGGTTAAGTTTGGTTGGTACTATATAACAGGCCCTGTTCTAAAACCTCTTCTTTAGAACAGGGTTAGAATTCAGTGGCTGTTACATACAGGAAAACACTACATGATTAGCTTGGAGCATAGCTCTGATTTCCCGTTTTTGGGGTTTGCTTCTTTGTGTGTGTGTGTGGTTTGTTTGGGTTTTTGTTTGTGTTGGTGTTTTCGGTTGTGTTTCAGTTGTTTTTTGTTGTTAAACATGCAGCCAAGTGGTTTCACTGTGCCTCCCCAAATACCCAAGTCTGAATGTCTCACCTTTTCACTTGGCATTTAAAAAAATTGAATACTCGGAGTTTATAATTTCAGAATCACACTTAACTTTCTTAGGATTTCAAAATTGTGCTGTTAAAGCAGCATGTCTTGTAGCATGTCTGTTAAACTAATAGATATTTAAATGTGTGAGACGGTCTGTTCCTCTTTATCATGGCAATTCTGTAGTGTGTTTGTATTTTTATGGCAATATTGTAAATGGTTTGTCACCTTTTCTTGCTTGAGCGTACAAATCCAGTGGTTTATTAGTGAAATTTTGTTTATCTGACAATCACAAAGTTACAACATTTGTAATATAACCACCTATTTAGATACATGAAATACTTTCCTGAAAGTATATGTGAGATAGCAATGTATGCTTCATTTCATTTTTATTGTGATTGAATAAGGGGATAATATTTCTTTACTAAGTTATTTTTTTTAGTTACCGTCAGTATGAAACTTGAACCATTCAATTACATGATCTACAATTTTATCACATTGCTTGGTCTTCGGGGTTTGTTTTTTTGGGTTTTTTTGTCTTAACAGCAATATCTCTCAGAATCTGAACTATACTTTTGGGCCAGTTCTATGAGTTTTGCGCAGAACTAAATTTCTTGCTGTCCGTATCACTCAGTATTCTCTAACGTACTATTAAAATGTTAGCAGGGCTTAAGTGAAAATAGTAAGTCAAATTTCTTCTGTTTTCTTTAAGGTTTCAGAAGGAGACAAACAACAAAATGAACAATCCAGCTATTAAGAGAATAACAAATGAAATAATCAAATCACCTGAGGATAAACGAGAATATCGTGGACTGGAGTTGGCAAATGGCATTAAAGCTCTTCTCATTAGCGACCCCACCACAGATAAGTCTTCAGCAGCGCTTGATGTGCACATAGGTATTTAATGCATGTTGTGTTCATTATCTCGTTAATAAAAATGCTTTAAGTTTTATTATCTTAATTGCAAATAAACTGACAGGAGTGGTATCCAGTTGGCAGGCTAGCCTTTTATTGTAATTTAGAGTTTGTTTAATTCTTTGATTTTTGTTCCTTGAAAAGTATTAGACCTAATTAAATTCTCTTATTGTACTCTGTGTTTACTCAAGTGTAGCTCAGTAGAAAGATTTCTTTTAACCATTAAGTTTCATGTTATGAAAGATCTTTTGTAAGCAGAAAAGGGGCGGGTGTGAGTGCAATTATTTCAGACAGCTCCGTCTGTCATGTCAGACTTTTTTTTTTTTTCCATGTTAAGTTGTTGATGTGTTGAGGTGAGAAAATGCTGTAGGGCTGGAGGAGTTGGAGAGGCACTCCCTAACTCCAGCGATGCTTAAGTGTGCAAACAGGAATACTGGAAATAGAAGGGGAAGGCAATTGCTTTGAGTCTTTGGAATAATGAAAGCCTTTTGTTACATCCAAGGTCTTTCTCGAGCTTGTGTAGTTTTTCAGTTGCTTGGAAAGCATGATGTGCGCACATGTTACCTAAGTATCCATAGTCATTATGTAAGCATCCTCTTGCCATGTTTGTAGTTGGTGGGAGCTCTTGCTGCTGTTAGTGTTAGGACAGAAGTAATAGAGTAACTTTGAAAACTTCTGGCCTTTTTTATTATGGAGATGGCTGTCACAAATTATTATCTAGTTCAGAGGATCCCAAATGTGGTTTTGTTAGGTGCTGTGACTGTAATAGGCAATTGCAGCATCCAGTTCCTGCACATGTACTGGAGGAGATGTATCTGTTGCCTTCATCTTTACTGTCCCATTGCATGTCACTGCACACTCCAAAGCAGGGCTGCCAGCCTCAAACTTCCACGTTTCTGGCTTCCATTCTTGCACATCATTGTTGTCTTTTAATCTGTCTGCCTTCACACCTCCTAGCTGGTCATCAATAGCTCCTTGTGTTCGGGCAATTACAGGTTATCCCTCATCCTATAAACCACGGGATAAATACCGCCTTAATTGTGGTTGGCAATTGCTGTCTTTTAACATAGTGCAGTTATTAAAGTCAAGGTATAGAAGGCAGAACATTGTGATCTGCCAGGTCTTTACAGATCATGAGTCATGGACTTCAGTTGAAAAAGTGTCTCTATAAGGCAGTGCAGGCTGATCTGGAGAGGCAATTTGAGACACTAATTGGTTCAGTTACTCTAATTCTAATTTTTTTTTTTTTTTTTAAGATTGAGTTTAGTTGACTCTAGCTGTGCAAGTGTCTGCTTACACCTATAGAATTGATATAATTGCCTGAGGCAACATACTATAGTATAAAGCACTTTAGAAGACGTAATGTTTTAGTATTACTTTTTATGACTGGTTACATGAAATTTTTCCTCCTGCAGGATCATTGTCTGATCCCCCCAACATTGCTGGGCTTAGTCATTTTTGTGAGCATATGCTGTTCCTGGGAACCAAGAAATATCCAAAAGAGAACGAGTATAGCCAATTTCTTAGTGAGCATGCCGGGAGCTCAAATGCTTTCACAAGTGGCGAACATACCAACTATTATTTCGATGTGTCACATGAACATCTAGAAGGTGCTCTAGACAGGTAAACACATTTTTTTATATTTGATTTTTTGTGTGTGTGTATATATAGGTGCTATTTGAAATTGTGTAAAAGTTTTTTGGTAGTGCTCTCAACTCGTTCTTTAATATCATAATGATAAAACTATGTTTTGTTAAAACTGATACCAGGTTTTTTTTAGTTCAAAAATTTTGCTCAGATTTTTTTCAGCTAGCAAGAGTTCTTCACTGAGGCAGAATTTTAGAATTTCAGAGGTTGTGTTTACATTGAATATTTTTGGAAATGTGGGGCACAGAATATGATGGTGAACTTTTACATTGTGCGAATACTCTGTATGATCAAATACTATGCTTTCCATAGGATCCTTATTTCATTGATAGCAAAAGAAGGATGACATCTAGAAATATATTAGGATGCCTTTAGTAAAGGGAACTCACTGAAATCTCTGCCTTTTGTGGGAGGGGACAGAAATCAAAAGGTTTGTAGTTGGTGAGGTAAAGAGTGGATTTTCCCTTTGGATTTTCCCTGGGTGTCTGACAAGACTGATGTAATTTGTGAGATTAAGAGCCTCTTGCAGCCAAACTTCAAAACAGTCGAAATTTTCAGTGTATGAATTACGATACAAGGTCCTTGATCCTTGTAGAACCTTATGTGATGAATATGTTGTTGTCTGCATTTATAGATAAGTTGAGAAATAAATATAGTGAATCAGTGTCAAAACTGTTCCAGAATTTATAAGTTCTGCATTAATACAATAATATATTCAGCTATTTTCAGGACGTACCAAGCTTCATATTTTTTTGTTACGATTTATGTACAGTGCTCTTGACTTCAATTAAAATTTTTCTGTTTAGATTTGCCCAGTTTTTCCTGTGCCCTTTGTTTGACGAAAGCTGCAAAGACAGGGAAGTGAATGCTGTTGATTCTGAGCATGAGAAGAACCTGATGAATGATGCCTGGAGGTTGTTTCAATTGGAGAAGGCTACTGGAAACCCCAGTCATCCCTTCAGTAAATTTGGAACAGGTTTGTCAGAATATAATTATCCATCCCTGTGTAACATACGTAGTATTATTGTTTATATACAATTGTTAAAGGCAGACTGAAACAATTCCCTTTTTTTCCTTTCCATACACAGTTATTATAGTTTAACCCAGCAGGCACCTGAAACAACTACACAGTTGTTCACTCACTCCCTCTGAGTGGGATGGGTTGAGATAAAAACAGTTAATAGGGCAGAAAAGGAAGATGATGATGAAAGAATATACAAAACAAGTGATGCACAATGCAGTTGCTTACCAACCACTGACCAATGCCTAGCTCATTCCCGAGCCACGGCGCTCCCTGGCCAACTCCTCCCAGCTTATACACTGAGCATGATGTCATATGCAATGGAGTATCTTGTTGGCTAGTTTGGGTCACCTGTCTGGGCTGCATGCAATCCCAGTTTCTTGTGCACCTCCTGCAGAAGACTCATGTCTCCTTGCTGGCAGGGCCTGGGAAGCTGAGAAGTCCTTGACTTAATTGTAAACATTGCTTAGCAACTACTAAAACGTGTAGCAACAACTAAAACATTAGTGTGTTATCAACATTATTTTCATGCTAAATCTAAAACACAGCACTATATCAGCTACTAGGAAGAAAATGACTCTGTCCCAGCTGAAACCAGGACAGTGCTTTATTGCATTTTCCGCATCATAGACCAAACAGAGCTAGACGAAAACAGAGTGATCCAAGACTTGCAGTACAGTGATAAATCTTCCTTTATGATTCTGGTAATTACTGCAGTGAATGCCATTTTCCAATTACTGGATTTGTCATAATTTGATACTGTTAAGACTTTGTGTGTAACAAAGTGAATTGAACGTTTAAATTGTTGTTATAGCCACATGCTCTTTTTGCTAACTAGTATTACATTAGGACTAGATGACAGTGACTAGGTCGAATCAGAAGGATCAGCAAAGTAATGTGAAAATTACTGAGTAAGAGTATAAAACCAAAATCTTAAGCGTAAAACACAACAGTAGTAGATGGATAGATAAAATGGTCTTGGGCAAATCCGAATCTCATGGCTGTAGGATTTTTTCAGGCTTTATTATTCACAGAATGTTTAGTAACAATTTAAAATAAACACCCCCGAACCTCAATTTAAAAAGCATTAAAGGAAGATACCATAGTTATGGTCAAAACCACAAATGTTTGATGCTTTGGCAAGAGTTTAAATGTTCTCTTTTTTTTTTTTAAATTTTTTTAATTAACGGGATGATAACTTAATGGAGAAAGTATGGTACCTTCTGCTTATGGGCTTATTTGGGGAGAGTTGTAGTTCTTGTCCTCTCTAATCCTGTTCCTCTACTGCAGCAACAGCTCAGCTGTTTGCGAAGCAGAACAGTCACAGTTTACAAACACGATTTGTAAATTAGTAATTATTTATTTCAATTAATATACTAGGCTATAATTTGTGGCACACAATGCCATAAATAAATTCACACAGTGATTCCTATAACAGGAGTGTGTACATGGGAGTAAAACCTACTCCCAGTGTGCCAAAGAAAAACCTTTTTCTTCTGAATTAGAGCCTGAGCTTACTTGCATTGCATTGAAATAACCCATTCAAATCAAAAAGATGAATTTGGAAGATTGAAACAGCCTTGGTTCTTTAGAAATGTGCAGATTGAGAGTGGAAGTATGTATTGTCTTTGATAAGCTGAGACAGTATTGATCCAGTTTACTTATTATGCATAGTAATTATTTTTTAAATTACTATTCATCTGGAGAAAAGCAGATTTATTAATTTATATTTTTCTTTTTGATTTGTAAATTCATAAACATCAAGTATTGTTAACTTTTTTTTACTGTTACAGGGAACAAACTCACTCTGGAAACTAGACCAACCAAAGAAGGAATAGATGTAAGACAAGAGCTGTTGAAGTTCCATTCTACTTATTATTCATCAAATTTAATGGCTATTTGTGTCTTAGGAAGAGGTGAGTTTTGTTCTGTTGGTTGGTTAAGAGTTGTATTACATGTATTTACATTTTAAGAAACTGAAGTGTATACAAATGCCTGAAAATCTACAGAAGGGAAAAAAGTAAAACTTGTACAGACTGAACAAACATAATTTTGTGTTTAGCGAAGTCTCCAAAGCAACTTGCAATGTATAAATTCATGTGTTCATAAGCTTACAGTAGAAAAAATAAGCCAAAAATTTTAAATCCATTATCAAGTCACCACTTGCTGTCATTGTATGTATGTATGTCTTATGAAGACAGAAACCTGCCTGGTTTCAGACGTTGGGAGGGCTCTTGATACTGTTTTCATATTTTAGACTTATACTTCCACTACAAAAATTCTCTGTTAACAAAGGATAAACCTCACCTAACATTTAGATAAAAAGCATTTACTTCAATTTACTTCTGAATTAACAGAGCTACCAACTGCTTAAAATCTTCCACAGTCAAGATGATATTTTACGTAGGTTTGCCAAAAGCTTAATAAGTGTGTTAGAAATTCCAGAACATAAAAATGGGTTGAATTGCACACTGTAAGTCCCCCATGATCTCTCTACTCTTGTGCATTCTGAAATAAATGGATGTCTAAAGATATGTAGCCTAGTAATTCTGATTTTCCCATCACTTTATATATGTAATGTAAACCAAATAAAAAATATGTCAGTAAAGAGTGGTGAGGGAGTCAGAATATAATTTCTCTAGTAAATAGTATTAAATATTGTAAAGCTTGCTAAAATTAAATAATGAAATTCAATTAATTTCGTCATCTAATCAAAAGCAAAATTCACTGAGTAATCATAGAACAGATTTAATACAGCAGTTCACATACGGACTTCTAAATGGAAACTTTTTTCAGTAAGAATCACCCTGGCAACTGGAAATCTGTCCTAAAGAAAACCCTTATTGTAGTTGTAAAGCTGAAATGAATGTGTCTTTTACCGACGTAGATAAAAAATAGTGGTCTTTAATAGAATTACATGCAGTTCACAAAATTTTATTATACATATATAAACTATTTTGGTTTGCTTTGGGTTTTTTTTTCCCTGCACGGTTCTCTCAGCGTAGTGTAGGAGCACACCTGTGTTAGGCAGGACAGAGTGTGCTTTCTAAAGTGAACTGGGGTTGTTTTGACTAACGAGATGAACACTTCTTGAAATCTTTCAAAGATTGAGGTTGTACTTTAAGAAATCCAAGAAATGCCCAGTTTTTTCTTCAGCACCCACCTTTGAAAAGCTTGTGCTAAAAAACATGATGAATTAGTCTTTCTTATCTTATTCTCACTTTGAGAAGTGCTCCAAAATGCATTTCTTTAAGCAGATAGTTATTTTGAACACAGTATTTCAACAGAAACAGTATAGGTCAATTTGGGTGAGTTAACGCACATCAAATTCTTTCTGCAAATGGTCTTCCTCTCCTTTTTGAAGAGTCCTAGAGTCACGAACCGCATCTGGAATGGATGTAAAAGTAGAAGTGCTTATACAGGTCACAAATGTGTGTGAAATTTTGGGGTGCTGAGGACAGATGACCCCGGCTCACCGTGTACGTGAAGTACTGGAGGTGAGCTGAGGCTGAAGAAAATCCAAGTTTTGACAAAGATGCTTTCACTCTGGAAAATGAAGAAAATCCAAGTTTTGACAAAGATGCTTTCACTCTGGAAAATTTGCAGCTGTAATTCCATGTCCCTTAAGCTTTTTGTGGAATGTTTATTTTTGTAATTGTTCAATATCTGATGTGTCTTTTCTTCAGTTCCAGCCTAGATTCATCAGTAAAATTTAAAGATGTTTTTTCTGGTTACAGGATTTATTTTAATCATGGTTGAAGCCTTCCTTTAATAAGCATGGTGCTTATAGCACATTGTAATTCAAAACTTAATATAGAATTCCTTTCTGAAATTAATAATCATAATACCATTAAACCTACTTTTCTGTGTAATTCATGTCTCTGCCAAAGAATATACGAAATCCAAATTTGCCAGTCTTCCGATAATGATTATGCTTTTTCTAATGTTTCTTTATTCTAGAATCATTGGATGAGCTGACTTGCTTAGTGGTAAAGTTATTCTCAGAAGTAGAGAATAAAAATGTCCCTATACCAGAGTTTCCTGAACACCCTTTCCAAGAACAACATCTCCGGGTATGTACAGAGATACATCTCCCCTCGGGAGTGTATACCTTAAATGATATTTTTTATGTTCCATTACTACACTGTGCACTTCACTACTTTTGTATCAGTGTCCTTGTTACGTTCCATGTTTCTTTTTCTTAATTTTCCACCCACCTTTCCATGCTGAGTGTAGTGTAGTTTTGTATAGTTTATAGTAAAGGTTGTACATTTGGTTGCGGCTGTAAGCAACTGAGAAATAATTAATTCTCTTTTTGTTAGCATCATGAATGGCTAAAGTGTTGCCCTAAGTTTTACATACCTTTACTTCCAAGATTTTGTTGATATGTTTGTAACAAAATGTGTGTATGAAGGGAATGTGATACGTGCTCCTGAGATGAGTAAAACAATGAGAGTTTCCTTTTGTTTATGGATCTTCTTGTTTATTTTGCCCCTCAGCAACTTTACAAAGTGGTACCTATAAAGGACATCAGAAATCTTTATGTCACATTTCCTATACCAGACCTTCAGAAGTACTATAAATCAAACCCTGGCCATTACCTTGGTCATCTGATTGGGCATGAAGGCCCCGGGAGTCTTTTATCAGAGCTTAAAGCCAAAGGTAAGTCCTTTTGAAAGTGAAGAATTAGAAAGTAATTAATTAACAAGTTTTTAAAGCTTAGCTACATTTGACTTAAAATTGACTTCTGTTTGTTAAGTTTAAAGCCCCCAGCTCTTTGAGTAATTTGAGTCGTAAGTAATTTTGCACTTTATTTTTGTTTCTGTGGTGGGCAAAAATAAATAGCAGGCATGCTGACTACTGTAGCTATTATTTCTTGCAGTCCCCTTACCTACCCCTGTTTAGAGAGTTGTATGAGCCTTGACATAATGATCCTGTCTCTATTCTGTCAGTGACGAGACTACTGCCAGGTCTCTTAATGTCTGGAAGACTGCAAGAGTGTATCTTTCGTTATTTTTCTTTATATTACTGTGCTCCAAACAGAAATAAATTGCCCAGTAATGAAATTATCTTGTTTGTCATACCACTCTGAGCACAAAATCAGGTAGGTCTGACTTGTCTTATATTTAACTTGCACTGTTGCTACAGGCATTAAGGAAGGGAAGGAGAACATGAAAATTAGTCAAAATATATTTGAAAAAAAAAAAGTAATGTTGCTGAAGCATACAAAAAATAGCATAAATTGTTAGAGATTTGTTTATGTAATATATTTGCTTTTTGGTTTTGTAGGATGGGTAAATACTCTTGTTGGAGGACAGAAGGAAGGAGCTAGAGGTTTCATGTTTTTCATCATTAATGTGGACTTGACAGAGGAAGGGCTTTGTAAGTGAAGCACTATGTTGGCATTCCATGTTATTCCTGATCTGATGGGTTTGTGTTTGTATCCAAAGAGACTAATTGTGTTTATAGTGTGAAAGACGATTTGTTTTGATTAACTTGTTATTCTTATGAGTTTAGATCTCTCAGTCTGCTAACACACTTCATCTAACATAACGAAACCAACTTATTCGTGATTATATTACAGTATTTCATTAAAATATTTTAAAGTAACTTTCTTTAAAAGAAAAGCTGTTAATACGTTTGTGTGCTACTTATTCATACTATTTAGACCTGAGTGAAATTACATTATAAACCAAAATCTTACATGTTCAATGCAGTTCTCAGAATTAGCTGGGGACCTAAACCCTTATCTTAAATTCATGTCTTAGGAAAACATGTTTAACTTTGCGGGTGGGATTACATATGTACTTAAATATCTTGATGTATCAGGGTATAATTAAAAATAAAACCTTACATGTTTGTGTTCATCAGAATTTTTTGTGCAGAACTGAGTGCATTATCAAGCAAGCATTTTTTTCTTTCCAGTGCATGTTGAAGATATTATTTTGCACATGTTTCAATATATTCAAAAACTACGTACAGAAGGACCTCAAGAATGGGTTTTCCAAGAGTGCAAGGTACAGTGATTGGTACTTGAAATAGGCAGTGGTTGTATTTGTACAAATTTTTGGATTATAAGTAGAAACAAATTCCTTGGCTGTGGAAATAGCCTTTAATAATCACATGGTAATTAAGTTTATTAATTTTAAAGGTGCAACATGACACAAATAACAAGTACATTCAGAACATATCATCTTAATATAGATGTGAAATGCTCTTATAGAGCTGTGAGTTGACATTTTATGATAGCATAATGGAGGTGGAGGAAGAAGTATCTTACTCTATCTGCGAGGATTTTGCATAACCTTCCTTACTCTTCATTGCAGGTGGAGGTGGGGGAAGCATTTCTGTGAGGGGTAACATTGAATTGGAAATTGAAATGGCTGTTATTCTACCCTTCTCTTCTTTCATATGTCAGATTGTTTACTTGAGATTGTAAAGGCAGTAGGACATTTAATCTGCTGTTCGTTCTCTCACCTTTTCTGAGAGGTGAACTAAAACTTTTCATGGAGTACTTAGGCTGTACACTTCAGTCTTTGCTGAACTGTTCATGCTTCTTGTAAGTCTGTGTATTTCTGTGTGCACAGACCCTATATATGAAGTGTACTATTAGAATTAAGTATCACTGTGAATTAAGTGACTGTGAAATAAAACCAATTTTATATATCTAGTCTCATTTCTTCATGACAAATGCTTGGGTAAAGATTTGATCCTTCTTTGCTTTATTTGGTGAAAGCTATTGAGTCCCTTCTGTCTAAGAGTAGAAATTCTGCAGATGCATTAACTTTGTTTCTTGCGTTTTGACACTGTATACCTGTAAAATAAGTCTCTCTACCCTCTGCTAAAAGTTCCAATGGAATTGTTTCAGTGTCATTATAAGCAAATAGAAGATTTGAAAGAGGTAGTTCTATCCTCCCATCTCATCCCTGTGTCTTTCCTTGCTCCTCTTGTATCAGCCCCAGCACTCCTGAGGCTGTGAGGTGAGTCAGAAAAGCTGGCAAACTAATGTGAAAAGTATCTTCTTTTGAGTTTATTTTCAGCTGAATTGTTGAACTAACCAGACTCTGCGTGGTTTCACAGAAGGATGGGACTGTCCTTTTCATTGGCTTTATAGTCTTAGATCTCTTAAATTCACTGTTGCCATTGTATTCTAAGAATGATGTGTTCTATTTCTGTGGCTAAGATGGCGTAAAGAAACACACTTTTTCTGTCTCTGAACTTACCTTTTGGCTGGCTGAATGAAAGGAAGAAAAAAGGAAGAGGGAAGGGCTTCAGTTCATTAGCATACAACGAACATTGCACTGGAACACTATGCATTGGTTCTGTCAAAGTGGGTGTGTTTTCAAATTATCAGGAAATTTAAACACATGAGCTATGGGACAGATCTCTTACTATGAACAGAATTTTACAAGACTTGTGTAACACTTCACATTGTGACACTATCTAAAATTGCTTGTGAGTTTTCCGCAACTTGAATATTGCTGAAAACTTTTGTGTTAGGTACTTTACTATAAAATGGATACAAAACTTCCTTTTCTTACATTATAAAAACAAATTAAGTAGCCAATAATTATTCTGAAATTAGTCTTGAAGGTATACTTTTCAACCCTTCCTACATTGTTTCCTAGGATCTAAATGCTGTGGCATTCAGATTTAAAGATAAAGAACGACCACGAGGTTATACATCAAAGCTTGGAGGAATGTTGCATGTAAGTGTGGGGTATTTTTGGGGGAGGTTTTTTTGATTTATTTTCTACAATATAGTAATAATTTAGCTGTATGTTTGATTATACTCTTAATAAATACAGGTATTTGCAAAGGTCCTTTCCACTTCTTGAGCTTAGGAAGCTAGTGTCATGCTGCATAGATCTTAGTTGTGGCAGTCAATAAGTCACGTTTCCTTTGCTCTCTACCATTTTATACTTCTGTACCTGGTAGAACTGATTTTACAGTAACTGGAATTGCTGTTTGATTTGTTTCAGTGTTTTTTAAGACATGTACCTTGTAATTCTGTGTCATCCTGATGGCTAAATGTTCTCTAGGGAAATATTGGAGAAATAAATATCCTAAACACAGTGTGTTTCTAAATGCTTACATAGTTAACAATGTTGAAATACTGCAGTAAGCAGAAATGTTCATATTAAGATAGAAAATTAGAAATGTTTTACTCTACTAATATGAATATGTATTGGTACTGAAAGAATCATCATGTAGCTTATACTTAGTCTTTATACTTCTTGCAAAATTCAGTTCCCTCATTTTGTACTAAAGGAAGATTTAACCTTTTTTTGTTTTGGTTTAATTAAATTCATGCAACTTTTGTACATTGTAGCCATTCTCCATTGCACAGGTAATGTCTACAACTACTGAGAGGCATTTTTGGTTTCTTTGCAGGAATTCCTGTTAATGCTCCTATGTCTTTAATTTGTAAAGTCTAAAATTACAATCTTTAATTTTAGAATTGTCTTTCTGTTTACTAAAAAGCATTAGACTTAACTGAAAACATTTAAATGGATATTTAGAGGAGCCCCTATTTAGGATGCTGTCTCTTGCTTTTGTTCAGTCAAATGCTTAAAATCTCTTTAACAAATGGACTTTTGACTTCTGAAACAGTCTTTCAGTGGTCTGTGTTTGTTGGATAATTCCTGATTACAATTGCTGGCTCCAAAAATCAGGCCATGAACTTGCCAGCAGTGTTCCAAAGAGCAGGGTATTGATTCAGGACTTTTTTTTTTTCTTTTCACTACTTTTCTTTTGGTGTGCTTTGCAGTATGAATGGTAATTCAGATTCTGCTGTTAGTTGCTTAAACACTAACAGAAAAATAGCTTTTCTAGTTCTCTTTATTGCTTCTGAGTCATACTAAGTTTATGCTTTGAATTAAACACACTAGAACTGTTGTTTGGTGATTTCATGTGCTTATGAATACTAGCTGTTTTTCATAACTTGGAGAAGAACCTGTGTATAAGTTAGCATGAGTAAATGTAATGTCGTAAGTTGTGACGTATTTACCAAAAGGAGTTAAGAAACCTTTTTATTCAACAAAACAGAAATTCATCTTTGAAGCACATTTGTGCTGGTTGAATGAGTCACACTAAGGTCTTGCTGTTAAATTATGTTTTGTATTTGTCATGTGTAGGCTTGATGTTGTTTTCCAGGTAGTTGTTCCCTGGTTTGCAGTGCCCTCTTTGTTTTGTTTTGTCTCCTTAATGATATAATTTAAAAAATTTAATTTTAATCTGGTTGTCATCTGTAGATTGTTTTAGTCTGTTTTGTTTTAGTTACATTATGCTCTGACCTTTCTGAAAAATAATCACAGAACCACAAAATGGTTGAGGTTCTGGACCTCTAGAGATCATTTTGTCCAACCCTTCTGCTCAAGCAATACAAAAAAACCGAAGTAACCAAATAAATTTTATGTTCAGTTCCAGTTGGTGGCTAGGCTGTGGCTTGTATTTCTAAAGGAAATAAAGTGTAGAGTTTTCGTCACTAAATCTGTATTGCTTTGGTAATATCAGATTAGAATTGCATAGATTACTTAAAATTTCCCCTTCAAGTTGCTTAGTCTGCTTAGCCGTTTATGCAGAATGTAGTTAAATGAGCATTCTTCAGTGTATGGTGAATCTTTTGGACAAGATCTTTCAAATTCTGGATCTTTAGCATTCACATTTGAATTTTTTTGTAACACAGGTTTGGTTCATGGTCCTTGGGCTCCACCTCCCCAACTCCCCTGGCCCTTTCTCTTTTCCAAAATCCTTTGTGTGAGTTACTGTGTGTTCTGGAATTCATTCCACTGTAGTCTTTTGTATAATATATGTAATTCAGAAAGCCATTTTATAATAATTTTGGTCAAAAAAAGTATACTTGCATGGCAAACTGCAAGTACTTGGTGCTTAGGTCACCTGGTATTTTTTCTTTGGTAAACAGATGTTTATCAACAAAGATTTCCTGTCAACCAAACTAATAATTTTCAGAGGAATTTTAACTTTTTTCTTTTTAAATTGTGATGTACCTTAAGAGATTTTCAGTTTGATCCTAAATAAAAAATGTTAGAATTAAAATTGCATAAATTTGTATTATGCTTGTAGATAATTGAAATATACTTTCCTTTAAATTACTGTAAATAAAAATTGAAATCTTAGAGAATAAAAAAAAAAAACTTAGTAGAGTTGGAGGTTTTTTCCCCCCTTTTTTCTTTTTTGGTTATGTTTTGTTTTTTCCAAATGCACTCTAGTGAGTACTTGGTGTTCTTTTATCTTTAAAAATATCCTCCAGGGGTCAGCATTTACCATGTTATTTTTACTTCAGTTACTTCAAAACAGTATTTAAAGGTGGGTGACTTTTTATATTGAGACATAAAGTATTTCAAGAGACAGGGATAGTAATGTGTAGTATATAAAATTACCTAATAGAGGAGAAATCTGATCGCATAGTTAGACTACTACTTAATCTTGTTTAGTTTTAAGAGAAAACTTTTAAGGCTTCAAATTTGAAATTACCAAGGTAATACAGATTTAGTGACTAGAAGTATACACTTTTATTTCCTTAACAAAACAGTAGGTTTTTTCATGTTTAGTTTTTGTTTCATTCATCTACATGTTTCTGGGCTTTGTTTTTTAGTATTATCCTATAGAAGAAGTACTGGCTGCTGAATATTTGCTTGAAGAATTCAGACCTGATTTAATAGACATGGTACTGGATAAATTGAGACCAGAAAATGTTCGGTAAGTTAAACTGCAGTAACTTGTATTTTAACCCAAACATTATAAGAAAGCAGTTGAACTAATGGAAACACAAATTCTTAGGTGTGTCTTACAGCTCCAAAGTAAATGTCACTGAAAAAGACCTAGTTGTTCTGTGTGTTCATGTCTCTGCTCTCTATTGAAAATGAGCACTCTTAAGTGCATTGAGCTCTTCCTGTTCAGACAGAGCTGTCCTTTCAGTCCTTTCTATGCAGGATGTCTTCCTCAGACTGAAATAGTTTTTAGGAAGATACTTACTATTAGTAGCTCAACTGTTACTGAGAAAAAAGTCTAGTAAAATTATTCTGCCTCACTAAGTTCTTGGGACATTTTATACAGAATGCTCTAATATTTGTAATTTGGAGCTAAGTGTGGAAATCTGTTAAGAGGATGGCTTTTACCTGCTGTGTATATTTTATTTTCCCTAACGAGAGCTACAAAACTTTGTGCATGTTAGCAGACCCTCTGAAAAATATCAGCTGATGTGGGTAGAAATAGCTGTGTCTTTAGCTGCTAAAATCTCTCAGAGTACCAGAGTCTCTCTTTGATGTGAGTGTGGCCATACTGTATGTGTATTTTCTTGGCAGAGTGAGTGGGCTGCAGTACAAATTTCAGGGCTCAGTACTTGGCCAGACTAGATATTGAAAGGAAAAGGGGAGTCCTCTCTCCTGTGCTTTTGAGGATCTTCTGTTGCCACCCAAGCAGGGTAGAAAAGGGAGAGGCCAAAAGAATAAATGTACCTAAAGTCTGTTTGAATACCTGAAGAACAATAGTGTGATCAGGATGAGGGAAATAATACTTTGCTGAGATGATGATTTTCAAGTGAAGGAATCTGGAAACTAGAGAAGAAAATGAGGGCAGGTGAAAAAAGGGTGTATTAATTGAAAAGGAGGAAGGGTTGGGCAAATGATTAACAAAGGGAGGAAGAGCCTGGGATGAGAGCTGGCAAAGGTCACCAGAGAGGTAATTTAAGGGAGGCCGTTGGTAGCTGTGGGGAGCTTGTATCTCAGTCAAGGATGGATGGAGAGGCTGTCTAGTGGAACTGCTGGGAATGGTTGAGTGCAGATTGGACAAAAATAAGAGAGAAGGGTAGGAATTGGGTCTGTTAAGGCAGAGTGCAGATAAGGAGAGCCGGTCTAGAAGAAAAGATTGTCAGGCTTAACAAGGATATTCAACTGAGAGTCCTGAGTCATGGAAACAGGGCAAACAGAAGAGGCAAAGAGGTCCGAGACAAGGAACCTGAGGTAGGATAGCTGCAGACTGATGGGACCAAACTTAGAGGAACTGAGCAGAAAAGCCTGTGCAGACTAAGTGCAGTGTAGTCTACAAAGGCCAAAGAAACTAAAGTTTACCAAGTCTTGCTATTTTTTTTTCTCTGCAGCTGTATGCTTTTTTTTTTTTGCCCTTTTTCCCCCCGTAGAATAGAAATGTGCTGGAATTACATAAGATGCTAGTATGATGTATTGCTCTGCCTGACCTACTAATGTAGTTGGAAGGTGTGTAGTGAAAGTAACAGGAATCTGTAGAAAGAAAAAACTGAAGATTCAAGGTTAAGACTGTTTAGTGCTGCCCGGGAGAACTGAACTCCTCTGTTGCTTTGTCACAAGCTTCCTAAGTGGCATGAGACAAGCTCCTAAAATAAACTTTTCACAGCAGGCCAGTAATTACTCCTTCCTTTTTATTTTCCTGAGTATGCCTAAGGTCTTAAGGCCTAACTAGAGGGATTGGTGAGCACCTGAATCCACAAAAAAACTCAACAGCAGCTTTGCTTTTATGGTACCTAATCTATGAGGTACCATACAATGTGAAGAATTTGAAAAAAAAAAAAAAAAGTCTTAAAATTAGCAACTAAAATGAATTGCTACTGTATAACTTTGTGGATCTCTATGTGCCTCGGCTTCCTATAAGAATGTCTCATGGGATATTTTAAAATATGGGATTAGTTCCTCTAATGCTGATGGCTGTGGAAGAGGTGTTTTAGTAATTCTGTTTATTTAGAGAAAGAGGTGAATATTGGAAAGGAAGAAGTCAGGTCATGCATTGAGCAAAACATATAAAATATTGAATAACTATTTCTTAATTATTGTGCACTGAACAGGGCAGAGGTTCAGTAGGACAGTATGTAAATTTCTGTATGTGTATATTTACATGTATGTATAAAGTACATGAGGCAACAGTTGTACTTTGGAGTCTTTTTTTTTGGTAATTGGATTCTTTTAATATATCTTTTGTGTCTATTGTAATAAATTGTAATATTTAATTAGTGGTGTAGAGGTATTATTAAAATGTATGAAAAGACAGGACAACCTCTTGCTTGTGATTCTATATATCAGTCTTGTTTTATTTGAACACCTGTTTATCAATGTTTTGAAAAGCTGGATGTGCGATACAAAAAATAATGATTTTTAGGTGAGTGTCTGTTTCTGAATATGTTCCACACTGAAATTTTCAGTCAGTGTTGGATATAGAAGGACGGCGAGGCATGCATTCATATATTTCTAGAGTTCATATATTTCAGCCTTCTGAAACTGCTGTGAATTACTTACAAGTTTGGGCATGAATCTTATCTATGTTTGTGTCAATGACAAAATCTGTCCCATATATTCGTTTAGTTCAAGATGCACGTTACTTTATTTTCAAAAGATGGTTTATTTCAAATAATTATTGGATAAAGTAGGATAAAATTGGATTATGAACTGTATTTGCAAATGTCATGGGGTTCTTGGTGTTTCTAGGGGTATATGAATAATGATAAAATAACGAGCTGCCTGTGTCAGTGACAGTAGTTGCCATGGTAATTAATGCCCTTTAAAGAAGGGCCTATATCTTTGTGTGTGGGTGTGCATCTGTGTGTAACGTGTGGGGTACTGCAACTGAAGCTTGCATATTTCAAGAGATCATATTTTGAACATACAATACTTTAAAGAAAGTTTCCAGGTTCTCTTTCTATTGTATTAAATACGTATGTTTTGAATGTATTTCCATGTTGATCTACGTCTTGAAAATTTCATACAAGAGCTTACCTTTAACATAAAGACTGTTTTTAGTAATTAAAATAGAGAATATATAATTACTTCTTCTCTGAAGAAAGCTTAACCAAATTTCACATGAATTTGAACTTTTAACTGATTTTAGAATTACTTGTAAGCAATAGGTGAAACATTTTTTATACCAGTTTAGTAAACAAGCTACAGGTGCTTAATCAGATTTATTATAGCTTCTCATGGCTTTAAAATGTGGCTCTTAACATTGCAAGACAACAGTCAATGTTATCATGGGGAAGGATAACTTCTGTAATGTAAAATGGGGTTTTGATATTAGTCAGAGAACTCATAAAGCATCTGCTTGCTTATGTTTTCAAAAATTGCTAGAGGAAATTAATGTACGTAAATACATTCACAGACTCTTTAAGCTTATCAGATGCTGCTGGGTGCCACAGACCACTCATGAGTTTTCTGTGTTACTCCTGTCACTGGCTCTGCCAGCGTTTTGACATTCCCTTCCAGCTGGACAGTACTTCAGCATAAAATAGCCATAATTAACCTTGTTCAAAAGTTGTTAGTGTGAGAAAGGAAAGTATAGAGAATACAGGTAGAGGGAGAAAATTCAAGTCTACAGAATGTGGTCAGAAGCACAGGAATAGTGATGACAATTTTTAGAAGAATTTAGAATGTTACATGGTGTGCTTTTTCCAAATATGTAGTAAACAGCCGTTTCACAATGTTCTTTTAGTTAATATAAGTCCACTTGCAGTTGCAATTCTGCATTCCTTTGTCCTTGGTTCAAAAGGGGGGGGTTGCAAAAAAAATCAAGATGAGCAAGAATCTTATTAGAGAGAGAAGAAAAAGTAATTCTAAAAAGATATGGAATTTAACCATAGCTTACTTGAAAAGTTAGTAACTAAAGAAAATATTTTGTTTTACTATTTTATGTATCATAGTAATTTTGTAGGGTTACATCAGTCTTCTCCCATTTGACAAAGTAACTTGCTGGAGATGGGAATATTCTCTACATTTGGTAATTCTGGATTAATTTTAAATAAAGGATTTTTTCCCAAGATGGAACACCTCCAGAGCCAAATAGTAACTGAAGCTGATCAGTTTTAATATTTGAAGCAACTGGGAAGCGTTGATCCTTCAGATAATGGAGATAGTTGTTTCAGCTTTTCAAAGTCAGCCAGTTTTGAATGTTGCGTGTATGACTCTTCAAGTAGCAAAGTGTAGTACGTTTAGACTGGAGAGGCACAGCAGTGGGGGTGTGTTGGAAATTAAATTTGATAGAATAGGTATGCTTTTCTGTACAGGAAGGTCTCAAAGTTTTCATAATGGAAGAGTGATGGTGGCATGATGACTGAATCAAGAAAGCTTGTGATCAGAGACGGGTTGTCATCTAATAACTTCTGTGTATGTGTGTCTCCATGTAATCCTGGCCTTTAAATGTCTCAGGTCTCACCCTGCTTTCTTCTAGCTCACCATTACTGTGCTTTCTTTTTGGATGCTAGAAGAAATATGTTGCGTTTAATTTTCCCTCAGGATTAACCACATTGTCTCTTCACTTTACCTGGCTTAAGAAATAGATTATAATGATTATCTAATTTTAAGCATGTGAATAAAAAAGCTAAATACTGGGAGATAAAGGGACTTTCGGAATTGGAATATACCAGGTTTTATGGCCTCTTCAGTTTATTGTTAAAGAAATTATATATACTTTTTTATTGCAGAGATCTTAGTAGGGCTTAAAGCTGGTAAATACAGGTAGGTTAGTTCTCTGAAGCTTAAATACCCACAGCTATGCCTACAGCTGTCCTGTTAAGGCTTAAATATAAATACATACAAACTAGAGAGTGACCAAAAACTGATTAAATGCAGTTCTAACAGCAGAATTCAGCAAAGCACTGATGTTTTAACATGGGTTGAGTGAGGCCTGCAGGAGGCCGGTAAGGATGTAACAGCAGGCATACTTTGAGTTTGAATGGTATATGGTCAGAGTAATAAATGTATTGCTTATTATGTGTAGACTAAAACCATGCTAGTGTTTGCTATTGCCATAACAACTGTACATTCACATCTTAGTTCTCTTTATGTTCAGGCTATTTGTCATCTCCAAAACTATAACTTAAAAAAAGAAACCCAAAACATCAACCCAAATTTAAGATTGTGTTGCTTTTTCCAGCTTCTCTAAATAATACATTTTTTCATTGTAGGCTCAGAAGTTATAGTTGTGCTTCTATGTAGCTTCTATGATGATAAAGTAAGCTGTTTTTTCTCAGATGTAGAAGTATAAGTACTTTCAATTTTAGTGGGAATTAAATGCTTTTATTCAGGGCATCAGGTGTTTGAAGATCTAACCTAATTATGCCTTGCATAAATTGTGTCTTGCAATAGTTCAGTTTCCATTGATTTTAATTTTTCCTTTGTATTGTGGTTTTGTTTATAATTTCCTTTTTCATAACCCTATTGGAATTCACCTACACTAAAAACTTTTCTTGGCATATCTATATTGGGGTGGTTGCATTCACAGAGACTACTGTTCAATGTCTTTTTTTTAAAACTTTAGCTTTTCAACTGTTATTTTCTTAACAAACTGTGTTTTTAAAAAGTATGGAAAAATATCCATACTCACAGATGGTAGCAAGTATCCATATGTGCTTCTATTTGAACCATAACAGGAAGTTTTCATATTCTCCTTCTGCCCCCACACACTACTTGTTGCGTTTAGTGGTTTAATTTCCCTAAGAGAGAAACCTTTTTAAGATGAAAGTATGTTTTCACTTGTTCACACTGCATTGGGTTTTGCCAGCCATCTGTGAAGATAAGGGAATAGACTTGGCATGTGTTGCAATCTTTGCTGAAAAATGTAATTTTCCCATCATTTCCAATAAAATTTTTTCCCCTCATCATCTGCAGAATAAATGCTCTTATTAAAATTTAGGAAGCCAGTGACTCATTAGATTAAGCAACTAGAGAACATTTTCCCCTGAACGGTAAATGGACTTTTTTCCTTTCTTGATATCTGAAGTGCAGCACTCGTACTATCCTAGAGAGAAGAAAAATAAAAGGAATGCCAAAAATGTTGATACAGAAATTTCTAAGAACTGGAATTTCACACTTTCAGTGAAGTTGCTGATGCTCATCCCTGACGATAAACACGTTACAAATATGGAATGTAGGTGTTTATTTTTTAATTGCATTGTATCTGAGTAAAGATTTTAAAAATCACAATTCGTTTGCTTTTTTCTCTCTCCCAGAAACCGTTGCGGTTGTAGAGAGTTATTTTTATTGAACCCTAACAAATAACTCATGTTTCTGCAGAATTATTAGAATGCTGCAACCCAGCAACATCTCTTTGCATGTAGTTTACCCTCTTATTCTGTTTTCTAATGAGATTATTATGGAAGTGGCTTTGAATAGCCTGTATTACCTTACATCAGTTCTACTGATGGTTTTGGGGGAAGTTATAAACAAATCTAGGCTTTTGCTGGTTTTGTCTCACTCATGTTATTTTATGCATTTGAATAAGAAATGTATAATTTTTTCCATTGTTTGATGATGTCATCATTTGGAAGACAAAGTTTAACTTAGTTCCTAAAAAAGGCAATTGTTCCTTTTTAAGCATAAATTCTTTTTTTTTTTTTCCAACAAATTTGCTTTGAGACATATCTGTTACTAATATCACAAATACCTGGGTCTCAAAGTCTATTACTTTTTCACCTTCAGAAGCTTGAGTTATGTTTTGTATATCTGGAATACAGTAGTTGATAATCTTTCCTGGACGTACATTCATTTTAAAGCACACATTCTTTTCTGAAGTCTCCTGTGGATCTGTAACTTGTAGCTTTATTTTAGATTTCAGGAGACTGAAAACCAAGATGGCATCTATTAAATCTGTATCAGATTCTAGAAATTGTCCTTGTCTTTGAAAATTGACCATAACTGAGGACTACAACAGTTTACATGTACAAGAGTGTACATACAGAAGTAAATTGCATTTACAGTTTCAGCTCTATTCCATGTTCATGAATGGCTCAGAAGCCTAATTGCACCAGTTGAGTTTAAATATGTTATAACCAGGTCCTATTAAAGATTGCCCGATTGCCTGTCTTGCTTTTCCAGTGCATTTCAATGCTGTCTTATGTATACCCCATGGATGTTCATAGTGTTGAACAGCACAACACAGAAATGAAAAGCAAACATGACATTACGTAATTGGTAACTTTAAAGATGCATCATGATACATTTAAATAACTGCACAGCATTGTATTTCTTACCTGTGGTGGTGCTTTTCCCCTCTTCTTTTTCTGTCCTGGTGTTCATTGTTGTTGGTGCTTGTATCTTGGTTTCGATTGTTAGTCTCAGGCAGATGAAATGTCTTTCGGTTTGTTTCATGTGGTTGTGGGTATGTTTCAGAGAGCTCAAAGTGTAAGTAATCATTCTAGTAGTGATTTGGTGTATAGGGAGGGCAGGAGGATCCCTTGAAGCAGAACTCCTTGAAGAATTTTAATGTTGATTTCCACAATTTCATTTCTGTATGCTGAGCAGACAATTATTTTTAGCTCTTTAATTTTAGTATGTTCCTACAGCAAATGTTTGGGTGCTTGGTTTGTCACTGCTGCTTGAGCATCGCTACGTTGGAGAAGGAGGCAATGTCAAATAAGATACCTGTGTATTATAGCATAAAACACCTTTGTCTTGTTGCTCGGACACATGATTATTAGAATTTTATCAAGATAATCTTTTAGCTTAAGACTTTTTTTTTTTTTTTTAATTTTTTATTTAATGGACGGAAAGGCCTGGTAGGTTGCTCTGAAATTCTAGTAGACTTTATGGTTTTCATAGTCTCTTAGCAACTTCATCTGTACGTGATAGAGGTTTTGCTCACCAGCTGTCCAAGTTAAAATGCAAAACATAGTAGAATATTTCTATGGCTCATTTTAATAAACAACAATCTCTAATAGATTTCACCATGTTGACCGAGCGAGTGTCTGCTGTTTTGCAAGAGCAAATATTCTCTAGGATTAAAGTGCTTAGTTCTTTGCTGAATGTTTATTTAGTATTGTTCCTTTTGTATAAAAAATGAAATAGATGTAACGTGCAAACAGATATGAAACCAATTTACATGAAGTAATAATAAAAATGTTAACCATCTCTATTGCCACTTGCACTGAGATGGAGTAATGTATCTTTTCAAGATGAATGTTCTTCTTCTGGTTTGGATATTGCATAACTTTTGCAGAAGAGCAGGGGTTGTTTTGTGTGTATACGTGCGTTTTTATGGTAATCATGTGGTTCTTTCAAAGGCAGGGAGCAAAAATTTCTCCCTTCCTCAACCTAGAGGAAATCTGCATCCCTGAAGCATATTAGCACATATGATTTAAAATACTGTCTCAAAATTAGACAGTCTGTGGTGCAAGTCCTGCTTCAATTTTTGAATCTATTGCTAGAGAATGTGTCTTTATAGTCCCAAGTGACTCTGAGATGTACTTGTCATTTATTTAAACTCATCTAATGCTGTTTACCCCACTGTTTCCCTGCTACTTGAACTGCAATGCACGGATTATTAATAATTAGAAAATCTTCATAATAGAGGAATTTAGAACTAAATTCAGCAGAATCCTGTTTTCTTCAGCCTTCTTGGATCATTTAATCATGTACATGTAAACATCAGATGAAAAAGGAGGGATGAGGACATAGACACTTACAATATTAATAGTCCACATATTTAAACTTTTCAATGTATCGCAAAACTCAACCCAAGGGTATTCTCCAGTAGCATATTTGTAAAGTAAAATACTGTAGTTCAAGACACATCTGTATGCCTGTTTTAATTTATGCCCCACTTTGCCGTGTACCTTAGAAATGCACAACAATGTTCCTGGCCTGAAGATTTGTGATGAAAAAAGAACACTTACATTGCATATATTTTGGTGCTTTAATGTGCATTTTAGCCATCTGCATAAGATTTGACAAAGTTCGTTACTGTGCTATCCAGCATCTAGGGATTGCTAAATGTATGTAGGAAGTAATTATGCTACCATTTTTTGACCATTTCAGAATTCTTCTAAACATTTATTAACTCTTAAAGCTAGCTACTTGATTCCATTGAACACTCTTTTGTGTTCTAGGTTGTTAAAAAGAATTAAAGTTTTCTCGACACCTATTATGAAGACTCCTGAAAGAATACTAATAAGTTTGTTGTTTTCTTTATTCTGGATATCATCTTATTTAGGTGTATTATTTAGTTCAAGAAGTGTCTGAACGATGCTTTTAGTCATATGGTTTAGTTTTAGGTAATCCTGCAAGAAGCAGGGAGTTGAAGTCGATGGTCCTTATGGGTCCCTTACAACTTGAGATACTCTATGATTCAGGTTTCTAATTGAGTATATATAATTTGTTGTATTGACTGTAAAATACATTAATCTTCCTGCTTTTCTTTGTTTCCCCTCAAAAAAAAAAAAAGGGAGGGGGGGAAAGGAGAGATATGAGAATGATTCAAAATGAAGAAACTCCCTTACTAGCAAACTATGGGAGAGTGAAACTGCAGTAATGTAATCTGGTCTGGAATAAAATTTCTATAATCAGTAATTTCACATATCTTAGTGTTGATATAGGAGGTATGAAAAATGTTGTTGTTGCTTCATTAATTTTGTAGCAGATCTCAAAGTCTGCTTTCTTTGTTTTCTGGAACAAGGATAACGTCTAAAAATTAGTAATTGCATGCAACAATAATTGCGTGTAACTCTAGGTTGTAACACTTTAGAAAAACAGTAAAATTAAATGATGCTCATAACCTGATTTCATTTCATCAGTATACATATACTTGCTATCCAAATGTACTCTGTAGTCGTCCAGGGACCATTTCCAGCAATATATACATTCTAGTGATGGAACAGAAATAGTGCTCTGAATAATTTCTCGCAGTCTTTTCTCAGACACAATCATGTCAAAGGGCTTTGTCTCTTTGTTTTCAGAGTTGCAATAGTTTCCAAGTCTTTTGAAGGAAAAACTGATCGAACAGAAGACTGGTATGGAACACAGTACAAGCAAGAAGCAATTTCTGATGAAGTTATTAAGGCATGTTAGAACTTTTAATATATTTTAATATCTGCAAGTGAAAGTGGTAAATTCTTTGTCTAATTTTCCATTTAGTTGAAGGGAGAACTTAAATCTGCTCTATGTGGCATGAAAATTGTGCAATGAGTCTGTTTAATATTATGAGAAGTAAGGATCTTATGTTAGTCTTTAGATTTCAAATATTTATTACATAGGACAGATACATTTCATGGTTTTAAACCATGTTAAATACAGGGAATGTTATACCATTTTTGGTATAAAATATCCATAATGGACAGTGGCTACTTAAAAATGTAAGCATTAACTTCTTAAAAATATGTATTAAATGTTAATGAAGTAGTCTGTTCTTAAAGGAATCTTTTTACAACTGTTATATGTAACTGTTTCTGAAATTGATTTTTGCAACTTAGAAAATGAGTATATTTTGCCAGTCAAAACTCCCAACAAATGAGGTGGGCAAATCCTCATTGAAACTTGTTCCTGATCTATTCTTTTAAGAAGAGATGGCTGTAAAATACACCCTAGAGCTAAATTGGACCAGCGGAGCATGCTTTGAGCAGGCACTGCATAGGAACACTTCACTTTAGCTTGTCCATACCTATGTTCTTGATGACAATTCTTGCTTATGTATTTAGTTTAATACCTTGATTTAGAGTTCACAGTAGCAGAAAAGATGAGACGTAGACCCAGCTTCCACTCTACAGTAAACTTTTAAAAATTATTTTTTATCTTTTTTCTTCCTCCTCAGAGCACTTCATCCTGCTGATAGCCTACTCCAACTTGGTTTCCCAGATATTTCTCTCTTTC